AGAGACGAGGGCATCCCCGGACACTGCACACCAGCCCCAGGAGCTGCAGAGGATCGGCTCTCTGCCCAGTGGACACTCTCCAGGCCTGTCCCTCACCACTTTCTCCCCAGGAGAACCTGGGGGCTCGTAAACAGACCAGAGGAGCAGAAACCCCGTCAGCCTCACTCCTAATGGCCTCCCCCGGACAGGAAGCCTTTCACCTGTGCCCAGATGCCAACCCAAGAGGGCAACCGTCCCTCTCATGCTTCCTGGTACTCCCCTCACTGGGCCGTCCCCACCCTTCCACCAAGAAGGGCCCCCGGGGAATGGCTGTCCCACATGCAGGTGCCCGCTGGACATTCCAGCAACCTGGACGGCCTCTGTCACCTCCAGCACCAGCTTTTCCTGCTGCGGGCTCCCCCCAAGCTACTGCTTGTGCAGGCCCAGCTGAAACAGCTCCAAGCTCCTGCTCCCTTCGCTTCCCAGGGGACGCTGATGGCATCACACTGGCAGAGGGAGGTGTCTGCATTCAAGAACCAGGCACCCAGAGGCCGGCTTCCCCGGCATGGGGGAGAACGCATAGAGCCTCCAGACAGCCCCGGGCGAGGAATCCAGCTCTGATACCTGGGGCTGAAAGACCGTGTGGTGAACCTGGAGAGACTCCCCGGCCTCACGTTCTTCTTCTGGCTCACTGGATTGTTATTATTGAGACAGCGTCTCACTCTATCGCCAAGGCTAGAGTGCAGTGGTGCAATCTTGGCTCACTGTAACCTCCGCCTCCCAAGTTCCAGTAATTCTCCTGCCTCAGCCTCCTGAGTAGCTGGGATTACAGGCACGCACCACCATGCCCGGCTAATTTTTTTATTTTTAGTAAAGGCGGGGTTTTGTTGGCCAGGCTGGTCTCGAACTCCTGATCTCAAGTGATCCACCCACCTCGGCCTCCCAAAGTGCTGGGATTACAGGTGTGAGCCACCGCGCCCGGCCTCCCTAGATTATTATGAGGATTAATGAGACACTGGACTTAAAAATCTCTCAGCCTAGGGCCTGGAATGCTGCAGGTCATCAGGGTGACCAAGAACTGAAGACCTCTCCTTGGCTGGGAATGGGGAATCAGGGCTGGAGAGGCATGGGGCACCCAGCACCACCTGTGTGTGAGAAAAGGGGATGAGGGATCTGCCGCCCGTGTGTGAGAGAAGGGGACGAGCGATCTGCCGCCCGTGTGTGAGAGAAGGGGACGAGGGATCTGCCGCCCGTGTGTGAGAGAAGGGGACGAGCGATCTGCCGCCCGTGTGTGAGAGAAGGGGACGAGGGATCTGGCCCACCCCATACTTCTCAGCCTGGGTGAGGGGCCGTGCTGGGCCCTGAGCTCACCTCCCCCTTGGGTGTTGTGACCGCAGTGCGGCGGGGGTCGATGTCCTCGTTGATGCTGGATAGGAAGTTCTGGGAGATGCGGAGAGCATCCTGCAGCAGTGGGTAGTCGGGGTGGTCCACAGGTGTGTGCTTCAGCAGGTCCTGGGAAGGGTGAGGCAGTGAGTTGAGGGGAGCGGCTCTGGGGCCCGATGTGTGGCCACAGGGGAGTGCTCAGCCCCCACCCAAAGAATCCAAAGGATGGGCACTCAGG